AGTGTTCCCATGCCCCAGGGAAGGAGGGTGGCCCTTCATGGAGAGCAGCTTGGAGAAGGGTGCTGGAAAGTCTAGGGGTAGCCCATCCAAACTGGCAGCCCTCCCCAGTGGGAAGTCATCCTCCTCCTCTTGGAGGTCTCCTTGCCAGGAGGAGAGGGCTATGTTGGAAGGATGTGATGTGGCACAGCCTTGGAAAGGTGTTGGTGTCAACGTGGTGAAGTGAAGGACAGGGCAGCAAGACCAGAGGGAGGTGGAAAATGAGAGCAAGAAGTTGTGGCAGCACCAACGCCAACAACCTGAAGAGAAAGCTGCTTTAGGCTGGAGGTCCTGCCAGTGGACCAGAGGCAGAGGCTGCCAGAGGCTGAACAAGGAAATCAGGACAGCAGCTTCCTGCACAAGGATTTTGCTCAGTTCATAGTTTCCTCTGCAAGAGGTTTTGGGGCTGGGCTGCTGGGCCTGTGGCTGTTATCACAGGGAAATAAATGGGTGGGCCTGGCTGCATCTCCCTGCCATCAGCATCCCTGGCTGGCCCCTGATCCAGCAGCTCTTCCCTCCTGTGGCAGATGTCACATCACGCAATCGCTGGTAAGGTCAGCAAGCAAAGGGATGGCAGTAAGGACTGAATTGGCCAAAGCAGTGCACATGCCCATTGAGCACTAGTCCCTACAGGCAGGGCTCAGGAGCATCAGCAGGAGTGTGTCTTTTCACTTGAGAGACTCCAGCCAGTCCTGGGTTAGGTCTAGAGCTACATCAGCACCTACAACACCAGACCTGGCTAACAAAACATATGTATATACAACTGCTTCCGAAGAAGAAGTAAGGAGAAACCACCATCCTATGGGTCCTTCCCCTCATCTGCTTTACCTTCTTTTCTTCTCCCTGCCATGCAGGAATCTCTGGGAAGACTCAGATTCTTTTCGCCCTCGTCTTCACAACCCGTTACCTGGACCTGTTCACGAACTTCATCTCTGTCTATAACACTGTGATGAAGGTAAGGAGAGGGCAGTGCAGCAGCAGAGGCTCCCCTCAGCTCCCTGTGGTTTCTCAGGGAGGTGAGGATACACAGTCACTAGGTGAGCTTTTCATCCAGGAAGGGTGGATAAAGATGCTTCCTTTGGTGTCACTGGCCCTCTATCAACCAAAAGAACCCCTCACCATAGGAAGTGAGTAAGCTGAGCCACATTCAGTAACACTAAAACCAGAACGAGATGCCATGAATCAAGCCTGGGTGCCCTTGCACAGCAGGAGCATTAACAAGCTGCCACCAAGCCAACCTCTTCACACAGAGCCCCAGCAGGACTCAAGTGTGTGATCCTCATGGTGGGACAAGCTTTACTTGACCACTGGAGTATCTCCAGCAGAAGTCAATCCACAAGCCAGCACAGGGAAAGCATTCACCACTATCTCACCCTGGCACAGCCTCACGAGAACCAGGTTTACAGATCTTTGGCAAAACCATCCCCTCTTTAAACACGGAAGATGCCGTTGCAGCTGAAGTCTTACCACCTCCTCCCTTCTCTCCTCCAGGTCATTTTTTTGGTATGTGCCTATGTCACTGTGTACATGATCTATGTGAAATTCCGGAAAACATTTGACAGTGAGAACGACTCCTTTCGCCTGGAGTTCCTGCTGGTCCCTGTCACAGGTCTGTCGTTTCTGGAGAACCACAGCTTCACCCCCTTGGAGGTAAGGAAAAGCTGAGGCAGGAAAAGGGAGGGGAAGCAGCAGCCTGACACGAGGCAGCAGAGTGAGCAGCATGTTGAATAGCTGAGATTTTTAACAGCAAAAGCAGGCAGGAAAAGCAAAGTTGGCAGGCCTTGAAGATGGTACCATCTATAGAGCAGCTCAGTGCTGTCTCCTCTCAGTCCCAGCACAGCAGGCTCGTTTTCCCCAACTCCAGCAGCACTACTCATCCCACTCACACATCAGTGCTTTGCCAAATGAAAAGCTTTGGGTCTTAATGCATATTAACCAGCACCAAGACTTCCCACTGCCTTCATTTTGCACCTCACAGATACTCTGGACCTTCTCCATCTACCTGGAGTCCGTGGCTATCCTTCCTCAGCTCTTCATGATCAGCAAGACGGGGGAAGCAGAGACCATCACGACACACTACCTTTTCTTCCTGGGCCTCTACCGCGCACTCTACATTGCCAACTGGGTCTGGCGCTACCACACAGAGAATTTTTATGACCAGATTGCTGTAGTTTCTGGGGTGGTACAAACCATCTTCTACTGTGACTTCTTCTATCTCTACGTCACCAAAGGTGGGTAAAGAGGTTGGTATAAATCTGAAATGTTCATTCAACACTCTTGCGATGTCAGTGGAGCTGCAGCTTGCCATGCACTAATCCTGACGTGACTTTACTCTGCGCTGTGTTTGTGATGCAATATTGTGCACCTAAAGGCCAGTTAAAAAAATGTACCTGATGAATGCATCACTGCTCACAAGGCTCTAGCTGTGCACGTGAAACACAGCAGAAATTAAACCAGAGCTAAGCCTGGTTTAACCCCACCTTGGAAAGTTAACAACTGAGGTACATTCAATTCCACATACATTTTAAGAGATTATGAATCACACACACACAAAAAAAAATTGAGGGGGAAAAAATAGCTGTAGGCAGACAATGTACCTGAGAAAGCAACTGCAGACATATGGAGATATTATTAAACCTACTTTTCCTTTGATTGGAAAGATATAACGTTGTCAAGAAGCGACTCTGTAGGAAGATGGGCACCTGCACAGCGAGACACTCCTGTTTTCCACAATCAGATGCCCCTTGCACTTCAGTGCTGTGCTTTGGGAAATGACTCTGAACCAGAGCTAATATGTGCACCAAGGGCATAAATCCTGGTGGAGCATGCTGTGGTTTGCCCAAGCTGAACTATGCCTGAGAACACCTTTCTGTTGAGGACGGAATTAGAAATTAGCTAAGTGAACGAGTATTTTCTTCCTTCTTCGCATGCCCCAACGAGTCTGCCAAAAGCAGCAGTGCCTGCCTGCGTTTGATGTTCCCAGGCACAGGCTTTTGGTGGCTTCATGCACTATACCTGCTGCTAGAGAGGTGACAGGAGCACTGAGCAGGTGGCTAGCCTTGGCAGATTAAGACTTCCTTCTGTCATTAAATATTTTTGCAGCCAGAAAAACGGCTTTGTATATCTGCCATCAAGGTGTTCCACGTCAATTCCTTTTTTTCCCTTTTCTAAACTAATTCCTATTTTGGCTTCACTCAATTCACGTGTCCTTCTGTGTTTTGTAAGGAATCCACACCCTTTGCAGTTGCGGATGGTGGAACAAAAGGGGGGAAAAAAACCCCACAACTGCTGGCTTTGAGTCTCGCACTGCTAGCAACAGGGCTGCAAAATTTAGATGATACAGGAGGCAGAAGAAAAAACATTTGTCCCTGGAACATCACAGCAGGAAGAGAATGGCTTTTTTTTTTCCTTTTTTCCTTTTACACAAATGTTCTGGATCATGGGAGAGAAATGGTGTCTGAAGATATGCAAATGCTTTGCAGTCATTTATGAGAGCCAGCAATATTATAGCAGGTTGCATCTCTCATATTCTTTCTGAAAACTCATCTTTTCAAAACATTTCTAACACTGAAGAGCTATGACAAAAGGGGAAAAAAAAGGGCAAGAATGTGTTATATAAAGAAATGTATTTAAAAAGACTTCAGAGCCTTATACCAAAGAATCGCAAAGGGATTTTTATAGGATGTTACTTCTCTTCATCTTGTTTTCAAAACTAGATGAGCTCCTTTCTGTTTAACGCAAGGACCTGAAATACATCCTGGGGAAGCTCTCAGATCCCCAAAGCATGTGTTTCACAGAACAGCTGGGGCTGGGAGCAGACAGAGGGATCACCTAACCCACACTCTGCTCACAGGTCATTCAAGGTCTTGTCCAGTCAGGTTTTGACTGTCTCCAGGATGGAGCCTCTCTGGGCAACCTTTGCCAGTGTCTGACCCCCCTCACTGTAAAATACTGGTTTTATGTTTTAAGTGGAATTGCCCATTGCTCCTTGTCCTGTCACTTGGGCACCACCCAGCAGAGTCTAGGTGTCTCCTTTATTGCTCCTATCAGGCATTTGTACACATGGCTAAGATCCCGCTCGGCCTTCACAAGGCTGGACAGCCTCAGCTCAGTTCACAGCCTGCACTCTTACATCAGATGCTCTTGTGGTCTTTCTTGACTTACTCCAGCATGCCTCTGTCTCTTGTGCTGAGAGCCCAAAGGTGAACCCACCACTCCAGCTGTGGCCTCCCCAAGGCTGAGCAGAGAAAGGACCGCCTCCCTCCCTCCCTCCCTCGTCACCCTGCTGGGGATGCAGCTCCAGAAGCTGTTTGCTGCTTTGCCACAAGGGCACACTGGTGGCTTATGTTCAACGTGGTGTCCACCAGCACACTCAGGGCCTTTCCTGCCAAGCTGCCCCCCAGCTGGGCAGCCCCCAGCACACACTGGTACCTGGGCTCGTTCCACCTAGGGGCAAGGACGTGTATTTGTCTGTGTTAAGCTTCATGAGGTCCCCTCAGCCCATTTCTCCCAGCCTGGCATGGCCCCTCTGGCCCCACCTGGTCCATCAGGTGTGGAGCATTGCTGGCACATCACTGCCCTTCCCTCTAGCACCCACGAGATGCTGAGCAGTGCAGGCCCCAGCTCCCACCCTGGGTACACCACCCAGACAGACAGCACCGCTGACTGCTACACATCCAGGGCAGCTGCTGCTCCATCCACCCCATTGGCCCAGAGACATCCCTGCTATCCCAAGTTTCAGATCAGATGGGATGGGGCAGGCTCAGGGGGGTCTCTGGCCACAGACCATTTATTCAGACCCTGCTCTGTGTCAAATGGAGGGGAAAGCACGAGGGATAGTACATCAAGAAAAAATGAGGAAATGAAGAGGGTCCATACATGAGAACAAGTAACCATGGAAGAGGAAACAATAACCTTTTCCTTTAGCATAAAGGAGAATAAATAGGTTGTGGAGTTTCCCCTTAGCAGCAATTTCATGGTGACTGGCTCTCATGTGCTGTAGGCAAACCTGGCACCACACTGGCCAGTGCTCTACAGAGCAAGGTGAAAAAATGAAATTCCTGCAACAATGGAATAGTTGAATTCTCCAAAGTTCATTCATCACCTTCTCCTTCTCTTTGCACAGTCCTAAAAGGAAAGAAGCTAAGTCTTCCCATGCCTGTTTGAAGACATCCCACAGACAACACCAAGAAATGCCAAAGCTGAAGCTCTTAAGATCGCAGCTTTCCTTCCCTGGCCCTCTTTGACTAAGGGATGGCTCAGCTGAGTTTCAGCCCAGTGCCAGGAAGACAACGAAGCTTGGAAAGCTGAAATGCATTTCATCCGTGAGACTTTTCTCTCAATTTTTTTTAATCTCTTCTCCCTTGACTCTGGTGCTAGTTTAAGTAGTGCTGGCCAATACTGAAGTATTGCAAGCAAATTATTCTCTCCCGGCTCTTCCCAGCATCTACCTCCAAAACACACCTCTACCTTGACCCTGAGGCAGCACAAGGAGCATAAGGAAAACTGCCACTCCCTTTAGTCCTTCAACAAGTGCCCATGGTAAAGGGAACACGGTGCTATTCGGTCTGGGAACACAAAGCCCACCGAGCCATTTCCAGGTGGCCATGTCTGCTATAAACTTTGACTCTGTATGAACTACCACCCCTCAAAAGTTAACTCTGCCTGACCCTCTCTCTATTCAGGTCCTTTAACATTCAGGGAAAACACATCTGTCTTCCAATTCCACAAGCAGTCAAACACCCTCCCTGCTCACTCACTTTCAGCTCCTTGTATCATACAGACAAGGACCATCTCCATTAAAATTCAGTAGGTTGCCAAGAGGTGTTTCCAACTCCTTGAACTTGACTTCTTTTAAGACCTGGGAAGAACAGGGGCAGAGATGGCTTTGCATTCCAAAAATAAAGACAAAGTTCACAGTTTATTGACAACAGTGTTTTTATTTATACCTACAAAAGAAAACAAGATGGTATCAAAAGGACAATTTACAAACTAAGAATAGTAACATAGCTCTTAGTATCCTGTGCCTGAACACCACAGATCTATGAATCTCTCAATTCAAGTTTTTGTTAATACAACAGGAATGTGTTCAGAGACCAGCAGGTGTGTGAAACAAGATGCTGATCCCACACAAAGCCACTAACCCATTGTTCAGAGAAGTCCAAACAGTAAATTACTTCAGGAAGTGGGAGGGGAGGAGACACCCAACTCATCTGACACTCCCACAAACTTCTTACAGGTTGAAAACAATGCAAACAACACTAGAGGCTAATGCTTTATCAACAGGGGCCCTCCAGCTGGTATATGGAACAGAGCAGCAAGCACCAGGTGGGACAGGGGCAGCACATGCCAAGGTGCATTTATGCATTCAAGTGTGGTTGACACTCTGAACTGAACAGAGACCCTGGACTTCAGCTGACCTCAATGGCAATTAAGCACTGCGAGACTTGGCGCCAATGTTTACACGTGCACAAGTCCTCCCCAAAGAAGTGAAAGCTATAACAGACTGTAAGGCAGCTTGGGCGGTCCAGAGACCCCTTTTTTAAGCCAGTCAGTGAGATGTCCTACTCCTACACCCCTCAAACACATTTCTGCATTCAACTCTCAAATTTAAATCAAAATAAGGAAAAAAAGAAAGCTCTACATTTGCTTGTGAGGGAGGGCCAAAGACAAATCAGTCAAGTGCCTGGATAAACAACATGTTTCTGGCTTTCACTTAACACAAGCAAAGGAACTTCCTGCCCATGCACTGGAATTTTAAGATGGGACAAGGGAATCAAGGTTCTGGAAGATCTCTCCCTTCTCCCTGTCAGCAACCTACCTGTGTACTGCACACAAGCGAAAAAAATAACAAAGCAAAAGGGCATTCATCCCCCAAAATTTTACTCTGGGAAGAAATTAAATGTAAAAAGAAATCATTTCTGTATAAGCAAGCTCTTTTCCAGGGCTACAAGAAGTTCCACTCTTGCTACAGAAGGAGTGGGCTGCCTTGTTCATCCATATGCAAGAACGCCAACAGACAGAGAAACCCACACCCCCTGCACCCGCACAATGCAAGGAGCGTGCCTCAAACCAGGAGATGCATCCATTCCTTTGTCATCCTGTCAGATCAAGAGCAGCCAACTCCTGTTAACATCTACTGTCTCTGAACCGTCTGGTATTAGAAGTAACAAATCAACAACATGCTTTACTAAAGGGGGAAACCCCCTCACACCCACTTTAGCCTGTAAAATAAACAAGTTTTATTTACGTATTTACTAAAGTTTCACTCTTCTCTAACATTGTCTAAAATACTACCTACCTGCAAGAGCTCAGCTCAAAGGGACCAATGGAGCAGGGAAATGCACTCAAAAGCCAGAAAAAGCAATAGTCAAGAGCAAGGTACAAAAGAAAGCTTCAGAATCAAGATGTGCTAACCAGCTCACCGCTTACCTCATGGGAAGGAGATCCCAGGCAATCTCCTCCTCCTCCTCTTCCCTTCCTCCCCTTGCCCTCCCCCCCAGCCCCCTCTACTCAAACCTCTTAAATTTACATGTGGAAAACTCTGTCACATTTTATTGAGCCCAGTGGCGTTCAGAACCTTCCCCATGACAAAAGCGAGCTAGTTTGTGAAGGACAGACAAATGAGCTCTGCTGTTCATCGTTTCAGGTCTGTTTAGTTTCTGGGCTCTCAAGTAAGGCTTCTCTCAATCAATTCAACAGGAATTTGAGAGCAGAAACCAATGGAACACTAACCAGGCTCCAGGTGTCTGCAATGCTGCAATTTAACAGCAAGGAAGAATTCACTTCGCTGAACATTTCAGCAGTAGTACCCACAGCAACTACCTGGGTAACAAATCCAAGACAGGTTTGGACTCTGACACTGGTATTTTAATCCCCACCTCCCTTCTGCAGGCTGCTACAGGTACCAGAAGATGGGGCCTCTGCCTCCAGAGCTCCAGAACATGCCAACAATACATCTAAGGCATGACTGACCACCACCCAGCTCAGACAAATGAGCAGAGTTTTCCTACAGAAAGTCATCTACAGTGAGATTACAAGCAATAATAGTGAGCTCTTCAAAACAAAATAAAACTAAAATTAGAAGTGAGCATTACTTCCCTTGCAATTATATTTTAAATGAAGTGCTTTTTGGCTCCCCAAGGTTTCCTATCTCTCGATACTTCCTGAAATTAAGTTAATATGTCACAGAATAGAAACTTCTTCCCCTCAAAAGCAAGTTTTCACACAAACCTTAGACACCAAGATGATCGAGCTGGGACCTATCTGCCTTATACCCTTTTCTTTCAGAGAAAATAAAATTTCCAAATTCCTAATGCAAGACAAAAATAATAAATTTTCCAGTCAACTATATATATATCTTAAAAAAAAAAAAAAAAAAGAAAAAGAAGAGGACAGGGTCAGTAATGTGGACTGGGGGCCATTTTGGATGGGCTCGAGGGATTTGAGTGGTGAATTCTAAGCCTAACCTGCATGAGAGACATCACAATGGGAAAGAAGAAAAGGTTCTTTTAAATGCAAGAGGTCTAACTCTGGTCACCAGCAAGTGGTCTCATTTGCGGGAAGGG